TCTATCAAAAGAACCAATCACAAGTATATAGAGTAGAGCAATTCTTCACCAACAATTCATCTAACAGGGATTAATATACACCATACATAAAGAACCCAAAATGTGAAGTATCAGAGGAGAGAACAATCTAGTCAGTAGATGGGCAGATGAGTACTTAGTGCATTCATAGGCACAAGGGAAATGCAAGCCAGATACACATGAGATTTCAGTTCAAGTCAGAACTACATTGAGATTGAGAATAACTTACAAAAAACAGTCTCAAAAGAGTGAAAGTAGAGCTGTCATGTGATTCAGCTGCATTTTGATGTATACTCTTGGGTATACACTTAATCGAAGTCAGCAGACAACAGTATCTATACATCCTAGTTCAATGAAACATTATTCACAGAAGCCAAGTTACAGATTCAGCCCAGGTTCCAATCAGCAGATAAATGGATAAAGAAAATGTGGCAGGTGTGCACAATGGAGTATCACTCAATCATCGCAAACAGTAAAGTCATATTATTTGTAGGAAAATGGATGGGCTTGGAAATCATCATGTTCAGTGAGATAAGCCAGACTTGACGATAACACATTTTTATTCATATATTGAAGCTGATTTTTAAAAAGACAGTGAATTGGAATAAAGAGGAAGAAGGCCCACGAGAGGGCAGACAGGGTACACTTGAGAGTAATTGATAGGCAGGTATGATCAGATCATAGTATATGCATTTATGAAAAAGTCATAATGAAACCCAGTATTTTGTAATTAATATACTTTAAAAAAGAAATAGCTTGGGAAGCATAAGACAGGAAAGGCCATGGCATTTGCTTTGGATCATTCAGCTGAAGTAGTGTGCAAGCTGTGTATTTGACATGCTTTCACTTGTATTCAACAGCATGCATAACTGAAAAATAGCACTTCGCAAGGTTCCTGGGAATTATTTTTAGAAACTGTCTCTAGACCAGAATTCTTTTCCAAGCTAGTTTAGTTTTCTGCAATGAATTGAATTTAAGCCATCTCCTGTGTTTGCATATGTTTGTATGTATATGAATGCATACAAATGTTGGGATCTTTTGCAAATTGGTGAAATATACTTATATATACCTATTATGTACCATTAAACTGGAAACTAACCATGAGTACCCCTCATATGCATGTGCTATGTAAGTGTGATGAGTGAACACATACATGCAAAAGCTGGTCTTTTGTCATTTGTCAACCCATCTCTCACTCCAACTCCTATTCTTTGTCCCACTCAGCCTTCACTTCGAGGTCTCCCTCATTGGTGGACCTCCAGTTAGCTTCCAGAGTGAAACGCTAGGGAGGAAGAAAAAGGTCTTACTTGTTTCTTTGTGCTTCTTCCTGCTTGGTGCTGTTTGGGGCAATTGATGCATCTCTGCTTGAGTGATACTTTTGCTGGGCAGCCACGCCCACCTGCAGTGGTTGGTACATGCTGGCCTCTGGTATTTTTTCCTTTTTTTCTAGTATTTTTTTCTCATTATTCCTGGGAATAGTAGTGATCCCGTATTGTGGCAGGTTTCTAGAAGACTGCCTCATTTCTTTCCTCAATTCTGTCAATGCCTTCATCAGTAGTTCATTGTTTAAAATTTCTCATTGATTCACTTAAATTCTGTTTTCTATCAAGACATCACATACACACATAGATATATATCACCCATTCATGTGCAATATGATACCATATAAAATGTCAACCACCATTAAATTTCATATGAAGCCAATAAAAATTATTAATTTCTCTGTGAGCCCAAACCAAACAGATGTTAAGAATAGCACTTCTGATTTTTATCTTTTGGCAGTAAATATGTCCCCAAATCCAAAACTGTCACGCTTTCTAACACAGATCTAAAATATTTTAAAGCAAATTTACAGTAATTCCATGTATCAATAGTCATGCTGTTTTATGGTTTCCTTGGGCATTAAGCAGCACAGTGTTGGAATACTACCATGAGATTAACCACATCCTTGTTTTAAATGATTTGTGTGCATGTGTATGTTTGCGTATGAGGGTAGGGGTGGATGCACACACAAGGGCATGTGCATGTAGGGGAAGTGTTTGTTGGCCAGAGGATATCCTTAGCTGTCATAAGGATTATTGTCTACCTCCTTTGAGACAGGATCTCCCATTGGTTTAGAGTTCACCAATTAGGCTAATCAGGTTGGGTAGTGAGTTTCAGGGGTCATTCTGTCTCCACATTCACATCACCGGGATTGTAAGTGCACACCCATCATCACCCCTGGCATTTTTACATGGGTTCTGGGGGATTAAACTCATGTCCTTCTGCTTTGTAAGGCAAGTGATTTGCTCACTGAACCATCCTCCTAATTCCCAAGCTGTACTTTAAGAGGCTCCATAATATACTTTTGTATGAATTTATAATGCTTTACTTTTTGTAGACTCTTAGATTATTTCTGTTCTTTTGCTACTTTTGCTGATTGAGATTCCATCTTACTCCATGCAGAATGGTATCACTAAGGAAACAAACAAGGCCTGGCTAGATAGCTTCACAGGCAAAGGCGATTGCCACCAATCCCGATGACCCGAGTTTGATTCCCACAACTCACATGGTAGAAGGAGAGAAAAAACTCCTTTAGATTGTCCTTTGATCTCCAGATATGTGTGGTGGTATGGACACACACATACACACACACACTCACACACACACTAACGCACACACTCATGCACACACACATACCACACAATAAATAAATACATGTAAATAAATGAAATGAATAATGACAAATGCTAATGAGGATTAGGAAAAGGGAAGTGAATGTGTACCATTTGTGGGCATGTGAATTAGTCCACCCACTCTGAACATCAGTATGGAGGTCCTAAAAGTCTAAAACTAGAACTACCATAAGACTTACCTACATGACTTCTGGGTATGTACTGAAAGGAGGCTCAGCACACTGCAGAGATACCTGAATAGCCCAGCCATGTTTGCTGCAGCAGTGAACAAAACTATCAAGTTATGGAATCAGCCTGTGTGCATATCAACAGGAAGATAATAAAGAAGACACAGTGTATATACACAATAGAGTCTTACCGGGAAATAACAAAGACTGAAATTATACCATTTTCTGGAAGACAGAGGCAGCTAGACTTCATCCTGTTACATAAAAAGCAGCCAAACTCAGAAAGAAACATGTCATGGAGCCTTGATTTTACATAGGTGTATTCATATTTTATACACACACATATATGCCTGACATGAAAACAGAACGGAAACTGGGGAAAGGAAAGAGATGGGAAGATGAGAAGACGAGGTTGTGAATATGGTTAAATCATCCAATGTACTCCAAAGATATCCTTTATTTTAACTAAAAGATAATTACATTATTCCCCCTCTTCCGTTTCCTCCTTCCAACCCCACACGTGCCCCTCCCCCATTGAAAGGATTCTTTATGAAATGTAGTACTGTGTACAATGAATATATAGTGATAGACATTTTAAGAAATCTGTGATTATGTAAATATTCCTTGTCTGATGTGTTCAGTATGTCATCACCAGCCATCTCCACCCTTGGGCACTTAGAGTGTAGCTGGTGAGGAGAAAACCCATATATAAGAAGCCATGTAACCAGTGGTCATTCTCTGTAACACAGTAACGTAGCATGGCTCTGAGTTCCTACTGCCCAACTTCTACCCAGGAAACTTGTAAAATTTACATTTTCATTAGCAGAGTATGAGAGAGCTTACTTCCTCTGCCCATTGTTAACAATGACATTTATTAGTTTCTAATACAGTATATTAACTTGATAGAAAAAGATGAAGTATAATTGTTTTTTAACATTTCTTTGAATGCTTGAGTTAAATGTATTTCCATATGTTTTCTATGAAAAAAATAAGAAAACAGAAGATTTACTAAAGAGATCAGTAGCCAAATAAGAGGAATTCGAGAAAGAGTCCAGAGAAAACTAGAGGTAATTATGAATGAAGTAAAATTTTCCAGAAATGAAGGCTGTGAGTCCTCAGGGCCCACAAAGCATCCAACACAATGGTTAAAAATAGAGTCATTGGGAAGTTCCAGGATGTTGGTGTACTCATTTGCCAGAACTTTCAATACGGCTGCTGTAGTTGACAGCCTTAAGAAATCTTGGTGGTTCCAACAATGTGAGGTGCACTCTCACCCTGAACTCTTGGGGGAGGGTCTAGGCCCTGCCCTGGATGAAATGACAGACTATGGACACCCCCATCGAGGGCCTCACCCTCCCTAGGGAAATGAGGGGATAATAGGGGGGCTAGGGGGAGGGTACGGGAGGAGAGGAGGGAAAGGGAGAGGGACCTGGAACTGACTTGTGAAGCAACCTTGTTTCTAATCTAAATTTAAACTGAAAAAAAAAGATGTTAAAAAAAAGAAATCTTGGCGGTTTAACAAAAGCAAATTTTAGTTCTCACTTATGCATTTTAGGTGACTCCCTTCTTCCTTGTAAACATACCACTTAGATATGTCCCCTCAGATAGCTGTGGCAGGGAAAAACAGAATTGGAGAAACATGATGGTTTTTTAATTTTCTTAGCTCACAGATGACATTGTCACTTTTAAAACAAAGTAATGTTACCTAGTTTTTAAAGTTTCATGCCTGTGTACAACGAATCTTGATCGTATTCTCCCTCACTACCTTCTTCCTTGCCCCCTAATACATCTCCCTCCAACTTTATGTCTGCTTCTTTATTATTTTTATGACTTACCGAGTCGAATTCATGCTGCCCACATGCTTTGGGGTGTAGGGATCGTCCACTGGGGCATGGGGAACCTGCCACTGGCCACACCCCTAAGGAAAAATGATCCCCTCTTCCCCAGTAGCCATCAAACTGCCACAGCTCTTCAGCTAGGCCTGGGGCCTCCATTACCCTTTCCCAGATTCTTGGTCAGAACATAGGCCCCACCTAAAATAGGAAGCCTACAGAAGCACTACCAAGGGCGTGGTACTTGGTGTTTGCAAAGAGACAGTCTTACACATTTTCTTTATTAAACTGATTATAACTGAGAAACAGAAAGCAAAATGGGTTTTTTTATTTCTCAGTGTTATTAATAAAAGCCAGAAGAAAATGAAGTACTGCTTTAAACATTTCCAAAGTAAGCAATTTATATCTAGAGTTCTATTCGTAGCCACGTTATTAATCAAGGCCAATGCAGAATAAATCCATTTTTAAACACTCAAGGCATTAAAAGTACCATCCATATATTCTTTCTCAGACAGCTATCAGGGTAGAAAGCAAATTAGGAGACTCAGAGGGTGTTCGGGGAGTGGGGGGGACTTATTGGGATTTCTATTGCTGTGAAGAAACAACATAAACAAAAACAACTTGAGGAGGAAAAGGGTTATTTTGCTTACGCTTTCACATCACAGTCCAGCACTGAAGCAAGTCAGAGAAGGAACTCAAGCAGGGCAGGAGCCTGGAGGCAGGAGCTGATGCAGAGGCCATGGAGGAGTGCTGCTTACTGGCTTGCTCCTCATGGCTTGCTCAGCCTGCTTTCTGATAGAACCCAGAGCCATCGTCCCAGGGATGGCTCCACCTACCATGGACTGGGCCCTTCCATGTCAGTTACCAATCAAGAAATTTGCCACAGGCTTGCTTACAGGCTAATCTGGTGGGGGCATTTTCTCAGTTGCCATTTCCCTCTTCCCAATGACTCCAACTTACATCCTGTTAGCACAAAACTAGCCAGCACAAGACTCAGTATGAGAGAAGTAAACCAAATGTTCAGAATTCCAGGGAAGGTGGATCTTTTGAAGAGAGCTGCACACGTAACAGAGAAGGAAGACAGAAAAGTGAATGAGACTCCAAGAGAGGATTCTTCAGGGAGATGCAATTGAGACTGTTGGCATAGCCGAGCATATTGGGAGTTACTTGAACAACTGTCAACAACTTACCAAGGAAAAGAAGAAGACAAGAAAAAAAGATATTACTAAATCCAGAGAAAATAGAAAATGTACAGGTAGGAGTTGAATTATAATTTACCATATAATTCAGCTGTGAATTACATAATAGTGGTCAGCATATATCCCAAACACTGACCTTATCAAAGTTGTGCTCTAAGAGTATTAGGGTAGGAGAAGAAATGTGAGAAACTCAGGGGAGGGAAATCAGTTCAGGCTCTGGGGAGGTGTGTCTGGCATTTGAAGCCCATCATGGTATGTTGTGATGAATTGCCTTTTCATAAAACATATTTATGTACTATGTGAAATTAAGCCTAAATAAAAATCAAACAATAAAAGACAAAATGTGTGTGTTGTATCTGGAATATGGTGGCCTAATTTAAAAGCTACTTTGGACCTTATTATGTCCCTTGTGCAGAGTTGTCAGTGAGGTCAGCAAGGAGGGCCAAGTGGAATAATGGGCAACAGGGAGTGGGATAGCAGGGGTGTCATGGGGGAGGGGCACATGCTGGAGGCCTTACTCAGTGTCTCTACAGATCATGATGTGGTTCTGTTCTCGTCCAAGGCTAACCATGAGACTTGTGCATTTCCATTAAAAAGTCATTTCAAGTGGAGGTTGATATTACTGTGCCCATCTTACAGCCTTAAGAAGAGGTTGTGACACAGGGTCTGGGTGGAGCTTGCACTGTCATCAGCAGATTAGGAAAGCTGGTGAGTTGCCTGGGCATTATCTCCCAGCTTCAAGTTTTCATTGCTGGGCACTTAGACAAGCAATGGGATTTGCTGCCTTCTGAGGTGGGCATGTGCCAAGTTTGAGAGATTGGGATGCTAGAACCTAGTCTCTGCTCTGTCTATAGTATCTCTGCAGCCTCCTCTTTCTTTCAGAAGACAGGCACTCTAGGAGACATTTTCTGGGTCCCTAGGTAGCAGACAGCCTGGGTGCCAGTTTATCTCACCTGGGAAGAGATGTACATAAAAGCCATACATGTTGCTCTCCATCCCTTCTTCTGACTCTGGGAATCAGAGAGCCAGGCTGTCCTTGCATAACCCCCACCCCCACCCATCTTCAGAGAGCTATAGGAGATGGTCCCTCCTCCTCTGCCATGTGGGTCTCTCTTTCCAGAGACCCCACTATGCTGTTCTCTCTGCTCCTGAGGTCTGAATACTCTTCAGAGCCTCTGCCTTGTCTGTTGTTCATGGTGTCAATGATTCTCTAGAAAATTACTTGTTCCTCAGGAATCCATCTCCGTGTCCTCTTGAATTTTCCTTATCCAGAACCTAGAAAATTCCATGTGGATAAGTTTGGAGTTAGCTGTGGTTCTGAGTTATCCACACTTCTGTAGAGTGATTAAAGAGATCAACTAATTATCTGTCGCTGTTAACACAATATTAAACTTATATTTCGGCACAATAATACATAGCTTTTTATATTTTAATATTATTTACTTTAGTATATATTATATTGTGTGTGATACACACACACATACACGACACATGCACGTGCGCATGCGTACACACAATGATGAACAATTTTAGGTGCAATCAAACCCTCCAGTTTATTCCTTTCGTGTTTTCTCCTTCACCAAAGATGATAACTTTTCCAAATTTGACATATTGTTTGCATGCTTTCTTGCAAAAAGATATATCTATATTTAACTTTTATGCCTGGTACCCACTGAAGCCAGAGGGTGCGGGGCCCCTCAAAATAGAGTTACAAGATGATTGTGAGCTGCCATGTGGGTGCCAGGAATCTCCCATGAGGGTGATAGGGATTGAACTTGGGTGCTCTGAAAGAGCAATAAGTACTCTTACCTGCTGAGCCATCTCTCCTTTTAAATTGTTTACTTTATAAATTCCAACATCTTCTTCCACAGTTTACATTTCCCCCCACTTAACATGCCCATCCTTATTCATCGAGGCACCCATTCACATGTCTCCACTGCTGTGTAGAAACATGGAAACTGCCATGTTCCCATGTTCTGCTACCCACATGCTACAAGCAGGAATGCTGAGGTGTTCTCTGGGCTCCACCAGAAACCTATGAATCCAGAAAGCACAGGCACCTGGACCCTGGCCTTCCAGGTAAACTAACTTTTTTTTGTGAAGCTCAGTACACACTTTTTGAAAAACTTAGGTCTACCCAAAAATGGAGATTGTTAGCTATACTCCTAGATTCTTCTCCCTGTCATTTCTCAAGTCTCTGATGTTCCCTGAGAACTAAGGGAATATCTAAGGACTAAGAGGCTAGTCTGGGACAAAGAGGCTAGTCTGGGGCAAAGCACACTGTAATATTTGTAAAGAGGAGAAAACCGAGGCAAGGAACTCCTTCCCGCCAGAGTGCCATTGTGTTGGGACCTCTGTCATCCACGGATCTGCTCCTGCTGGTCTGTTTTGACAGGACAGTGGTGAAGGCAGAGACCCAGACAGGGATGAGCTCCACCACTATGAAGCTCAGGTGATGCTTGGTTTTCACTTGGTTCTTGGATCCCTGTTGAACGAATTTTAATTGGTCTTAGTAATAAAAACCCCAAGTTAGATTTGAAGCGGGGGGGGGGGGGGTTTGAAAGGCCAGAAAAACAAAGCCAGCCACTGGTCTTCTACCTCAGACCTAAGGGGCCAGCCTGTCCTCAGACTGCCTCCTCAGACTGCTTCAGACTCACTGCTGCTCCCACTGCCCTGAGCTCCTGTCTCCTCCCACCTTATGCTTCTCTCTCCTCCCAGACTCGTGCCTTCCTGTCTCCACCTCCTTGGTGCTGGGATTAAAGGCGGGTCACTCAACGTGCTGGGATCACCTTTGTGATCTTTTAGAGTGGATCAATCTCTTGTAGCTCAGGGTGGCCTTGTCTGCCTCTGGTGTGAAAGGTGTGAGCCACGCTGCCTGGCCTCTGTGGTAACTAGTGTGTCTAGCTCTGCACTCTGATCTTCAGACAAGCTTTATTTGTTAGGCCATAAAAACAATATCACCACCGATCCCTACTAGTCCTAGTCCTCCACTTGCCGTCTCTTTGCAGTCTGACTCAGGTCTAACTATCCTACGTGGAAGATCTGTAGGGGAAGTTCCAGGCAGGCTTTGGTGTTCCCAGAAACCTTGGAGCTGTAATTGACCGTGCTTCCAGACAGAGCTGCCCTGGGGCATGTGAAAGCTTAATTCATTCACCCAGAATAAAGTGCCCGCTGAGCTGATCAATTCCAGCTTGTTTACAGTTGCTTTAGGCCTGCTGGGCCCCTGGCTTCGCTAAGCAGCTTACCTCCACCTCCCCTGTCGGGGGGGCCAGGAGGCAGACAGCAGGCCCCTGCCCTCTCCTTGACACACCACGCTGGGACAGTGTCCTTTGTGAAAACCTCTTGAGTGCAAATGGCCCCTTATGACAGAAACACCACGGGAACATTCCCCAAGCGTGCTGTTTGCAGTGGTAGTTGGTCTACAGATTTTCCCACCAAGATCCTGGAGCAGGGCCAGTTTGGAATTGCCCCTGTCATGAGAAGGAAACAGATGACCATAGAATGAAATAATAGCCCCTCCTCCTCTCTCCAACCCTTTGATTTCAGAGGCTGTGCACTGATTGTTAGTGGCCAGGCGTCTGCACCTCCTTTCTGAACCAGAAATACGTGGGAATGAGAGGTCTTCTGGACACTGGAAGCCAGCAACAAATAGCCCAGAAAACCACTATCCGTGTTTGAGCAACCCCTGCTATGAAGCTCCCTGGGGCAGAGCCAGGAAAACAACTGAAGCTGGCCCCCAAATAGGCTCATGCAGGCACTTCCTCAAAGAAAGAAAAGAGTGTGAAAGGGAATCAGAGAGAGAGAGAGAGAGAGAGAGAGAGAGAGAGAGACAGAGACAGAGACAGAGACAGAGACAGAGACAGAGAGACAGAGAGAGAGAGAGAGAGAGAGAGAGAGAGAGAGAGAGAGAGAGAGAGAGAGAGAGAGAGAGAGAGAGAGAGAGAATTCTTCCCAGAAGCAGTGATTTGTTTGCAGAATGCCTTCTACTGTTGCTGGCTTTGCTCAGGTTTAATTATCTGTGAAAATGATGTTATCAGCTGACAAATGACAGAGCTGTCAAGAAGTTCATCAACCCCCCCTCCCGCCCCTAAGAAACTTATTTCGGATCCAAATGAGGGCTGTTCAGTGTTGATTTTACCTTCACTGAAGCTGTCAACAGAAGAACGCAGGCTCACATGGCCTGGGGAAGACGCCCCCTGAGGATCATCCCTGTCCTGTGCCTTGCTTTTCTAGAAAGCCTTTCAGGTCAAATAAAGCAGAAATCCTGTAACTGGCAGAGTCCCGCCCTGTGTAGGGTACCTGCCTCTCTCTGTCTGTGCTGTTTGGGATGCCCTCGTCCTCAGAGCAGCCCTGCTCCGCAGGCATTGTCGGCAACAGAACAGCAGCATGAGGGCCAGGAGGGCTGCTAGCTCCGGGGAAGCAGCTGACTGGGATGGCGCAAGCCGAGTTCATGTTCTTTTTGTCCTCACGGCTATTTGTTCAGTTCTCAGTGAGAGTTGAGTGAGAGAGTAAATAAGAGTCCACAGAACTGCATCCACGGTCTGCCACCTGCACTTGTGCCTTGCACACCTGGGGCTGGCCCAATTTCCAGCTGTCACTCAACGTTTCCACTGAGTACCCAGGGGACTTCTCCAACTCCATAAGGACACAATTTTGCTTAAAATCTAATACCATGGTCTCCATTTCTGTAAAGCTCTCTATCATCCATGCACTAATTAGCCCATGCCAAAAGCTCATCTATCAAAAATCCCGTCTACAAATCACTCCTTTTAAATCTACCATCACATTAATTATCTGTCTCTATCCAAGGTCCCTGTGTCAGCCTCCTCACAGGACTCCACCCTTGTCCTCCACTGCCCCCTTTGTTTCCTGTATACAAACCAGATAAAACAGACTCAGGTCTCTTCAATGGCCTTGCTCTGTCAACGTCTTGTGCATAAAATCAAAGTCTCACAAGGACGCCTCGAGTCCCTCATCCCATGCCCATCTTGAATCACCCATGAAGCTCTTACTACTTTGACATCTTGTGTGTTTCTTAACTAAGACAAGGATTATGTTTAGATAATGAATTTTCTCCTGAAAAGACATGTGTATTACATACAGGTCTGTTCTCTGGTACAAGCCTTGTCCAGAGGTAGGGCTTTGGGGAAGGGCTTTGGCTTCTCAATTGATGAATTCATTGTTGAAGTTATGGTTTTATGGCATTATTGAGATGTGATGAAAATATGAGGAGGGGAAACCAAGTTAGAGGAAATGGGTCATTGATGATGTCACCTCTAATCACATTGCTGTGTGTATGATCTCTACTAACCTGCGACTTTCTGCCATGGGTCTAGTTGCTTAGAAACATCTGTTGAGTCAGATACGGTGAAATAGTTCCATTTTCAGGAGCCCGTTCCTAAATGAATGAAAAGACATACAAACTCACATTATTCCTTTAATATTTATAAGTGTGAACATAGGAAATAAATCTTCAACAATATAGGATTATTTAAGTAAATTGTGATATAGTTGCATCGTAGACCAGAACAAAACCATTAAAATGCAAGCTCTAGAAGAGTATTTACTAGTATGGAACATGCTAAGGATACTTTATTAAGTACAAGTAAACGAATATTAAATAGAGTGGCTATAAGTGAGTATTAAACAGCACGGCTATGAGTGTATGAAATGTATTTGTTTGATGCATAGTCATCATGGGAAAGAAGGTATTACAGGTTATTGTAGCTGCCATGCTTTCTCCTGTTTGGGACTTTAGAGTTTGAGAGCAGCGGACTGTTCTCTAGGCTTAGGGACCAGGAGAACGGCTCTCCTCCAACTGACCCCTGACGACCAGCTTTTTAGCTTTTGGTTTGGTCATGTGGCTTGTTTGGCTAATGGGAAACTGGTCGACATGAAAGTAACAGAAATTTAGGAAGTGCTGTGCCCTGGGATATTCTAACAGGAACTGCTCCTCCATTGTGTGGATTATATTAAGCACATTTAAAACAGTATTTTGGGTATGTTGCAAACCTCTTCCTCTCCTTTTTACAGTGCTGGGATTTGAACCTTGGGCCTCTTGCATGCTAGGAAAGTGCTCTGTCACTGAGTTACACTCCACTGCTGATGCCTTGGGGTTGTGCTTTATTTCAGAGCTGGAGACTGTGTATGCTAGGTTGAGCTATGGCCCTAGTCCATTGGGTGTATTGAATTAATTTAAAAACATTATTAAAATGTGCTTCATTTTTTCCTCTTAACTTTTAAAAATGTTGCCACTAGAAATGTCAAACTGTGATATATAGGGGTTGCACTGTTTTTCTATTGGGTAGTTCTCTTCCATCCCCAGATGACTATGGAATCAGAGCAGATGAAATGGTCTTTGCTTTAAACTAGTTAGTTTTGTGTGTGGCAAAACTACCTGACCAAAAGTACACTCTAGACCCTAGGAGGTCAGCTTCTTAGCCTTACGAGAATGCACCAGAGTGTCCACACAGCTTGGAGAAAACAGGATGTGGCAGAGAACATTGGCCAGGGACTGGATGCTTCAACAGGATTATTAGTAGACGAGCTGTGGCTGTGGGAGGAGCTGGAGGGCGTTGGCAGTGTCACCTCCTTAGGATGCCCGTGGGGAACTACTCCCTCAGCTGTGGTCTTGGAGAGCAGAGGCTTGGGAAGCCCTGTGGAAGCTCTCCCTCCCTCATACACCCATTTTTCTCTCTGCTCTGTCTGCTTTCTCATCCTATGGAGTTTGTGTGTGTGTGTGTGTGTGTGTGTGTGTGTGTGTGTGTGTGTGTGTGTGACTGACTCCATTATCAATAACAAGAAAATGAAAGGCATGCTGCCCGTGAGAGAACCAGTGTAGGAGGTGGGGGAGGGTGATTTCAGCAGCACCACTCTATCAAGGACTTCTTTCCTTCCCTTGATGGAACTGGAAGTCAGAGCTGGAGGAAGTCATAAAGATCATCCGACTTAACTGCCTCCTCCTACTGATGGGGAAACCTAGTTCCAAAGATGTTCTACATCTCCCTTAGCATCACACAGGAACTCAGTGGCTCAGACTGGGATACTGATCTCTGTATTCTTGGTCCGGCACTGTTTCTGCAGCTCCTTATGATACTAACTCACTGAGTATCAGTCATGTGTCTCACTCTGGTTCCGGAGGCTCTTTCTTGGGATTGAATGACTACAAGAGCTTCCAGGTCAGAACTGTTTCTATCCCTGATCTGTTGCTTCCTCTACTATATAACTTTTACTCCAAGATCTCAGAAGTCTCGAGTCCATTCTCTTGGAGCCTCTGTTTCTAATCATCTCAATTTGGATGGAGTCTCACTTACGTCTCCATTCTTATGTACTAATTAAGTAGAACTCAGGGACTTTGGAATGTTTGTGCTTTTAACACACAGAGATTGACCTCACAGCACAGGAACAAGGATGGAGGGAGCAAGGACAGGAGTGAGTTATTGAGAGTAGAGAGGACTGTAGGCAAGAAACCCATGAGGCATCACTTCTTCGCTATGGATGCCCAAGCCTTGTGTGTGGCGGGAGTAACCTTTTCATCTACAGCTGCCTCAAAGCTATTGTCCCACTCTCATAAAAAGACATTTATTATTGCTATTTCTATTACTATTTATGAGCGTGTGCAGGTGTATCATGACGCTCATGGGATGTCAGAGAACAACTTGCTGGGATCAATTTTCCACCATGTGGACCCTTGGGATTAAACTCAGGCCATCAGGTTTAGAAGCGACGCCCATTCCATCAGCTCCACTTAAAATGTGGTCAAAATGTGACACTATCCATTTACTGCTGGGTTGCTTTCATTACGACATACGAAGGCAATCTATGGCTGTTCTGTGTGATTTGCACACGTGCTAAAACAGCAGAATCATCTCAGGACTTCCACATCTGTGTAGAGGCATCCCTACCACCCCACACAGTCCCCCAAAGGAGCCAGTGTCCCTGAAGTTTCTCTTTTTCTTCAGCTACCAATAACCAAATATGAGGACTTGCTAGACAACAGCTCAACTCAGAATTACTCTACTTTAAGATTCTAGAAGATTCCTTCTGTAAAATGAATTTTCTCACTCTCCTGATTCCAGGAAGTTCCCTTTGTGATGCCAGCCCTTATCAGGGTAAAGGTATCCACAGCTCTCCTTCTGGAGCTTAAGCCCAGTTGGGAAGAGAAGAATTCACACCTCCTTTAAAGCAGTCCAGTGCTGACAAATACAAAGGGACATTGAAGCCAATAACCTTAAAACAACCTGGATTAAAAAATTCCCCTGGATATCTGGAACTATGTCACCATGATGCTATATATTTGATTAAAAGAAATTTTCACTTTTCACCCAGATGTTTAAAGTCAGGAAGACTTATCCAGGTCTGTGTAAATGGCAAGATGTCCCCCCTCTTGGCATTCAGAGGCAAATGAGAACAAGGCCCAAAGCAGAGAAATTAGCTGGTGGTGGATGATGGCCTGTGCAGATCTAAGGAGGTGGTCCAGGGGTTGTTTGTAATCCGCAGGACAATCACTCAAGGTGGATCAGGACAGAAAAGCTAAATGAAGTGATGCGAAAGCTCAAAAGGCAAGTGTGTGATGCTATCCAGGAACCATCTAAGGAAAAAACTCCGGGGAGGCAGATTGAGAATTTAAAAACAACACTCTCCACCCCTATTACCCCTTGACATCTGTTAACACAAGAGGCAGGGCCATTTCCTGGGAAGGTTCTTTGTGTTTACAAGGGTGAGACCCTCTTGATGTTTTTGTGACTTTAATTAAAGAGCTGGAGGATGGAACTACATCCCAGAGCATGTCCCAGGAGGGAACTTGTTGTACACAGTGCCTCATATTCAAACGGAAAGAGAAAAACCCAATCAATGATCCAGATGTTGTTGATTTTACAGGGATGATAATGTATTGTTCTTGCAAGAAGGGTGGGAGGCAAGCGCTCTTGAGTGGAAAAATGCTTTTGAAGGTGTTTTGTTAATATCATTTTACAGTGTCCTTTCGTTTTTGAATATATTTAGCAACATCAAGCAAAACAGAAGACAGAGATGGAGGAGAGAGGAGGGGAAGAGGCACAGAGCAGGTCTTGGTAGCGGGGAGGGAGCAGCTTTGGGGCGGGGGAGGGGCTGGATGAATTCTTGCAAAGGTTCACAGTAAGTGGAGGCTCGGAAGATACATGGCAATCTACACGAGAGTTCCGATCTCTCCTGAGTCGGACATTTTGGCATTAGAAATCTATTTGCTGAGTTAAGGAAAGTGTCCTCAGACATTAGTGTGCTGAGCACCATCCCAGAAACACAATGCTGCAGGTGTCAGGCTCCATGTGCAGACTCGGGTTTAATAGGACGAGGGGGTGGAGTGGGAATGAGAGCCATGGACAAGCGCCCCGGTGTTCTAGCGTGCCTGCTTTGTGAGGTTGCTTTGGGCCTGCCTATGGTAGCTGCGCCTCTCAAACGGGAGGAGAAGTCATACCATGGGAGCCAGGTTCCAGGAGAGGTCAGCTGAGTCTCAGCTCCATCCATCTAGCTCTGTGATCTGGGACCAGGAAATTAAGCTGTAGGGAGTTCAGTTAGTTCAATTCAATCGACAAACCAATGTAAAAACGTTATCACAGTGTGACTGAGGCAGGGGCAGGATGACCTCTGGGGTTTCTAGGTCAGCTAGTGCTACCTTGTCAGTGAGGTTTAGGTTCAGTGAGAGACCTTGTCTCAAAAAGCAGACTGGCCAGGTGTAGTGGTGCACACCTTTAATCCCAGCACTTGAGAGGCAAAGGTAAGTGGATCTTTGTGAGTTTGAGGATATCCTGGTTTACATAGCAAGTTCAAAGGTCAGCCAGGGCTACACAGACTTATAAAAAATAGAATATAGAGCAACTGAGGAAAACACTTAAAGTCATCTTGTGGTCTCCACTTGCATGTGTACACGTGAATGTGCATACCTGCATACATGTGCACATACATGGACATGTACACACATAGTCTAAAAGTCAGAAACAAAGAACAAATAAAAACACATGGTTGGGTGGGCATGATGGCTCACAGCTATAACCCATCACTTACAAGGGTAGGTAGGAGGGGGGAGAACATGAGGCTAGCCTGGGCTACATTGCAAGAATCTACGTCAGAAACAAAACCCAAAATACATTATTAAATAAAACAACAAATAGGAATGTCTAAGAAGTTCTCTAGTGTTCTGTTATGTACTGAATGCTATACACATGTAAATTGTTATTATTTAATTCCTGTTATCATCCTCTAGCTTAAGGGATAAATTTGGGGCTCAAGAGAATCCAGAAAGGGTGGGGCAGCTTCCAAGGCAGCCAAGAAGCCTCAAGAGGTCACTGAGATGCCAAGAGAGGTGTGTGTGTGTGTGTGTGTGTGTGTGTGTGTGTGTGTGTGTGTGTGTGTGTGTGGTGAA